CTGTGCCACAGTGCCCACCCCAAAAGTGCAAGTTCTTATCTCCACCCCCACCACTTGTTAAATGTGTGCATATGGTCCAATTCACCTCCTTATACCTCAGTTTCCTCCTTTGTAAAATAATTGCCACAGAGTTGCACCTGCAGAGGGGCTGGTCTTTAGCAAGCATGCAGCAAGCTGCCTGTTCTCTGCCACCAATGCTTACAAATACTTGCATTTCTGCAAGCTTTCTGTCCCTGTTCATTTGGGTTTATCTTTAATTGCTCACTTCACATTTTTAGGTCGTTTCTCTTTACCCAGAGACCAGGTTAGGAGCCTTTCTCCTGGAGGTAGAATGAGAGAAAGCAAAGTTGTCATATAAATTGTTCAAGGTGCCCAGGGGCTTCACAGAGTGGCCTTGGGTTGGGGTATTTGCCTCTCTCTGCTATCCACAGTCTGGCCCGAAGCCCTGTGGGCCCAGGAACCCCACATGTCAGCAGTTCCACAGCACATCTGCCCTCCTGAGCTGGATTCGTGTTAACCATGCTCCCGGATCAGACGGGCAAGATCAGAATGCCAGTGTTGGCATTTACGAGAGGAAGTGAAACTGCTGGAGACCGGCAGGCAGCCCTGTGCCCATTTTGTGCATGTAGGCTGGCCACTGGGAGAGCAAAGCTCCACCCAGGCTGTTGGTTTATTTATTTATAATGAGAGGCATAGCTGTTGAGTTGCTCCCTATGTCCCTCAGGGTTAAAGTATCCCCAGTTCTAATCAGAAGAGCCGATAGATTGTTCCTGGACCTCCAGGCGCAATAGAATTCAAGAGGCACCTGCAGTGTAGGAGGGGTGCTGCCGCCAGCCTACTGCTCCCTGCCTCAGCTTTCGGACAGCTCCTGACTATGCTGGTTTCTCAGGCTGGTTTATACCCCTCTTCTGGTAAGAAGGGAGAGGGTACCAGTACCCATATGGGATGCCAGCTCTGCAGGTGGTAGCGTCACCTGCTATGCCACAGCACTGACCCTAAAGCTAAGATTTAAAAATCAGGAGTTTGGGCAGGCTTCGTGGTGCTATGGTTTCAGCCACCACTTGGGTTGCCCCACATTGCATATCAGAGTACTGGGTTCAAGTCCTTGCTATTCCGCTTCTGATTCGGCTTCTTGCTGGTGCATGCTGGGAATGTGCTTGAGGCCCTGCCACCTGTATGAGAGACCCAGATGGAGATGTGGGCTCCTAGCTTCCGCATGGCCCAGCCCTGACTGTTGTGAGAGTTTGGGGAGTGAACCACAGACTATCTCTCTCTTTCCCTCTCTCTCTCTTCCCCCCCAACCCACCCCTACCCTGTCATTCTGCTTTCAAGTAGGTAACAAATAACATTTTTGAAAATCAGGAGTATTCGTTTCACAATCTAGATCTGTAGAATTTCTTCAAAAAATCCAGAGCTGTTTCATTGCTTTGGGGCTGAGCAGAGACTCAATGCAGCCCCCCTGGGTGGAGGCTGGAGTCCTGCCCCTCATTCAGTTCCCTGTGATCCCCGCCCCCACCGCCCCCCACCCCTGCTGCCTCCCAGGGTGCAGGACATTGGTCTGCTTTTCCTGGCTGCTAATGTACATGCCTTGAGGCGTTTGAGTTTGCTTCACCCTGACAGCTGAAGCTGCCTTCATTTATCTGTGCTCTGACCTGCTGTGTTTTTATTACAAAGTGTAAGTCTCACATGGAAGGCTTCTTTTCTCATTTGCAGATTCACGTCACTGCTCCCCCAAGCAGGAAAGCTCATTTTCCTTTGTAAGTCCTGGAGGGTTACAGTGATCGGGAGGCTGGGGTGGAAAGCTCCCGGCTTTAAGGAAGTGGAACACCCTTCCTCCTCCCCCAGGAAACACATGGTGCTGATGGCCACTCTTCTGGGTCCAGCTCCAGAGCTTTTTCTTCCTCTTGGGCCAGGAACACTCGGCACTCTCCTGTCCTGCTCTCTACAGCTACGGCTCTACCCTGAACTAAGGGAAACCAGTGTCAGCATCTGTACTTACAAGAGAGATGCTTTCGCATGCATTGTTTGGAAACAGAGATGCTTTCGCATGCATCATTTGGAAACCTATTTATCCTGGGACTTAAGGAGCAGGAGCTTATTTTTAGCTTCAGTGTTATAAATTTTAATAATCGGATACAGGGAGCTGTGGGCACCATTAGGATTCCTTAAGAACTAGACGCCTTTTTATTAATTTGTCTCTAATGAGTGCAGAAAATGTCATGTGCTTGGATCACTGGTTGTAAAAATGAATTTGTCTCCTAAGAAACATTTTTTCATCAAATGAATAATCTGCCTCCTAACCCAATTTAATTCTCATTAATCTTCTAAATAAATTAAGGTTAGTTTCTGAGTGATCTGTCTGGGAAAACAGATTTACTTCAGAAAATATAAATGGCATCTCAGGTTCTTAGGTATATCTCACATGTGCATGCTACCTCAGGTTTGACCATTATATATCTTTTTTTTTTTTTAAGATTTATTTGAAAGGTAGAGTTACAGACAGAGAGAGATACAGAGAAAGAGGTCTTCCTTCCACTGGTTCACTCCCCAAATGGCTACAACAGCTGAAGCTGAGCCCATCTGAAACCAGGAGCCAGGAGCTTCTTCCAGGTCTCCTACATGGGTGCAGGGGCCCAAGCACTTGGGCCAACTTCCACTGCTTTCCCAGGCCATAGCAGAGAGCTGGATTGAAAGTGGAGCAGCTGGGACTTGAACTGGTACCCATATAGGAAGCCAGCATTGTAGGTGGTGGCTTTACCTGCTATGCCATAGCACCGGCCTCCCTGCCTCCCTCCCCTCCCCACTTTTTAAGACTTACTTATTTGACAGGCAAGTTAGAGAGAGAGAAAGAAAGATCTTCTAGGCGGGCGCCATGGGTCACTAGGCTAATCCTCTGCCTGCGGTGCTGGCACACCAGGTTCTAGTCCCGGTTGGGGCGCCGGATTCTGTTCCAGTTGCCCCTCTTCCAGGCCAGCTCTCTGCTATGGCCTGGAAGTGCAGTGGAGGATGGCCCAAGTGCTTGGGCCCTGCACCCACATGGGAGACCAGGAGAAGCACCTGGCTCCTGCCTTCGGATCATCACAATGTGCTGGCCACAGCGCGCCAGCCGCAGTGGCCATTGGAGGGCGAACCAATGGCAAAAGGAAGACCTTTCTGTCTGTCTCTCTCTCACTGTCCACTCTGCCTGTCAAAAAAAAAAAAAAAGATCTTCTACCTACTGGTACACTCCCCAAATCACCACAGTGGACAGGACTGAGCCAGGAGACTGGAACCCCATCCTAGTCTCCCACTTGGGTGACAGGGGCCAAAGCACTTGAACCATACTCTCCTGCTCTTCTAGGTACATTAGCAGGGAGCTGGGTCTGAAGTGGAGCAGCTGGGACTCCAGCCAGCGCTCACATGGGATACTGGCACTGTGGGCCGTGGCTTAATCCCCTGGAACATAACATCAGCCCCCTTGTCTTAAAGATCATTGGTGTAAAATGTCATGCATATTGTCTTCTCTCTGAGTCCGTAGTACCTTGTATGTTTTTCACAGAGTGATATTCCCTGTGTTTTGGTTAAACTGTTAATAAGTTACAGGATGCCCTAGCAGAGTCTCTGGCATGATTACTTCTCTAATCCTTCCACATCCTACTTAGAGGTCTTTTTCCTCAATTAGACCGCACATTGTCTGAGTGTATCATCCCTGTGTTTGTGCCCTCCAATGCAATATGGGGTATACAGCAGGTGCTCAAAAAATGGTGAACTGAACTGTTCAGAGGCAATAGAAGTTTGTCTCTGTTCTCCTTTAGATATACCATCTGACACTGTTGATCATGCTTCAAGAACAGTGGCTGAAAAACACTTGATTCTTTTTTATTCAGAGAGACAGATTCCGCAAAAGCTTGTGATAGGTGGGGCCGAGCCAGGTTCAAAGCTAGGAGCTTGGAAACTCAATCCAGGTCTCATCACGTGTGTGACAGGAACCCAGTTACTTGATCCATACCTCACTGCCTCCCAGAGTCTTCATTTATAGGAAGCTGGATTTAGGAGCCAGAGCTGAGGTTGGAGCCCAGACACTCCAATGTGGGATGCAGGCATCTCAACTACTGTCTTAAGTGCTAGGGTGAAGTGCTGCCCTCATTTTCATCCATTTGACTCAAGAAGTATCAGTAAATGATGAGAATAATAAATATTTCAAAAACAAACCATATATTTTAAAATAAAAAATGTTAAGAGGTATAACAAATAATGGCTAAACAAACCACCCAGAAAGGGGAGTTGTTTATAATTCACACAACCAGAAGAATAGAACTGTAATATATAAAGACTTTCTAAAAACATGCAAGGATAAAAGCAAACAACCCAGTATGAAAAATGCCAATGATAACAAGACACCATTTTCCACTTCCATCTTATAGAAATCTGAATTAGAGCAATGAGGTTGTAAACCAATCACAAATAACAAATGTTGAGTTGGAATATCGGGACTCTTGATGGGTCATCTTCTGGAGTAACAATACTATAGATTGTTTGCGAGAGTACATGTGCGCAGAGCCCTCACACACTGCCAGCTGGGTTGTAAGTTAGTCAGTTTGTGATGGGATGCAGTTTGGCTATACCTAGTGAAAGGGGAGCTGTGTACATCCTGTGATCCCAGAATTCTGTTCCTAGGAATCCATCCTTGGAGACATTCTTGCACTTGTTCAAGAAGTTGATAGTTCCACGACAGCAACAAATTAAAAACAACCTAAGTGTCCACTGTTGGTAGAATGAATACATACTTTGGAATTCTATAAGCCAGCTCCAAAGAATGAACTATGTAGAACTTCACAGAAATCTCAAGAAGACAATGCTCAGTATGAGAAAAAGCAATTTAAAGGTTGTATACTATGAGACCATTCTCTTTTTCTTTTTTTCCCAAAGATTTCTGAAGTTTGCGTTACTTATTTGAAAGGCAGAGTTACAGGGGGCGGGTGTGGGGGGGGATCTTCCATTTGCTGTTTCAATCCCAAATGACCACAACAGCCAGAGCTGGACCAGATTGAAACCAGGAGCCAGGAGCCTCATCTGGGCCTGCCATGCGGGTAACAGTGATGCAAGGAGTTGGACCATCTTCTGCTGATTTCCCATGCACAACAGCAGGGAGCTGGATCAGAAGTGGAGCTGCTGGGACATGAACCAGTGCCCATGTGGGATGTTGGAGTCCCAGGTGGCAGCTTAACTCACCACACAACAACATCGGCCCTGAGATCATTGTTAACAAAGCTTCAAACATGCAAATCACTGTCTTGTTTATGGATGTGCACATATCTAAATAAAACAAGCATGTGTACATGGGAATAAGAGAAGCTAACCCAGGAAAGCATTCATCTTTGGAGAGAGAGGACAGAGAGAGTAGAGCAGGGCTTCGAATCTCTCACTAATGTTTCATTTCTTCTAGAAAAGCTGAAGCAAATTTGGGATAATGTTCAGATTGTAAGCAGAGGCGAGGAGAATGTCCGCAGACTGGGAGGCTCAAGGTAGGAGGGTGGATGGGTTTGCGTGAGTTTGTCAGCACTGTGTAACTTCCAGTCCTGGATGGCCAGGCCAGCTGTGAGGGCCCCAGCTGCTGTCTCAAACTGTAAGCACCACTAACTGTGTCATTTTTGCACAGAGAGCGTTGTGAGATCTAGAGAAACAGAGATGGAGGAGATGTGATCAACAAACCCAAGATAAAATGAGGATTTCTGAGAACCAGAACAAGCTAGAAAAGCAAGAAAAGGTCTAAATTTTGAGTCAGTCAGGAAAGCAATTGTTGTGTCCAATTCCAAAGCCAGAAATCTTTCAGTGAGCTCTGCATAAACAACTTTGTTTATTCTGATCCAAGACCAACTGAATTAATATAACTCATGTTATTATAAATGTTGGACTGTTGATGTTTGCAGTTGAGTACATTCAAGCTGTGTTTTATGAAGCCAATGAAAGAGGTTGCAGGAAGCCAAGACAAAAGGAAAATCAAAGACCATGGCCAGTGTCAGAAGGTCCACTGGAGCTTCTAACGTAGCTCGCTGTCTGTTTCCCTCTTTCCCAAGACCACCCCCTCTCCAGTCTTTGTTTCTGTCCTCTCTTTGGCATAGCATTTAACCGGACTGAAAAATCCAAGAATACCAGTTGAAGTGCTTAAAGAGTAGGGGAGTGCAGAAGAATGATTTTACCTCTGTTACATTGTTTTAAGATGCAGGACAGTCACTTAGAGTGGCTATAATGTAGCAGGGTATGCAGATGTATAATACTAACTGATTATTTTGAGCAAGAAACATATGCTTTTCAAGTAACCCAGGGAATGTATGCATTTGTCTTTCCTTTGTAAGATTTATGCACTAACGAGGCGCATGACATGATTGGATCTTTCTGTCCTGCACCCTCTCTTCTCATTTCTTTCCCAGACATAACCACCTATCCACAGGTGATGCGATGTCTTCCAGCCTCTGCTCTATTGCTTTGCATGGAAGAATTCACGTCCTCATAACCAGGATCTTGCATTTGTCCGCCACACATTGTTCATGCTTCACATTTGGGAGAAATTCTATGTGGCTGTACATCTAGATAACCTCATTGTCTTTAAAAATTCCTCACGGTAGCCCATAGAATGGTTGACCCATATTTATTTAGCATTTCCACTGCTCATGTCTCATTGCAGATTTCCTGGGTTTTCACCAATAAAAGCAGTCCTGCAGTGAACATTCTGGTACATCCATCATTGCAGTAGAGGACGGATGAGCCTTAGTGCATGCCAGGATCCGGGAATTACAATCGTATTGTCAGGAATTGGCCTTCATGTCTTTGGCTTTGCTTTCCTTTTGATTGGCCTCATTTTCAGAGTCTCACATCATGTGTTGGCAAATACACCTTTACCTACTACATTTTCCCTCCATCGATGAGACTGAAGAGGCTGGCTCTCGCTGGACCAGCCTGGGACATCTTGTCTCTAGCACCATAGCTCAATGGTTAATATTCACCGATCTCATGGAGTTGGTTTTTTGTTTGTTTTGTTTTGTTTGTGGTGAACCAGGGAAAAATAGACATTCTAATAGTATCTAGATTGGTGTCATACATGCCAAAACATTCTAAGTATTTTCATAATCTTTGTTAAGCTAATGAGATGAGTATGTTGTTTATATAAAACATTATATGTGAGGGTGAATCATGTTACAGATTGGGTATTATTGATGTTTTTAAAAAGAGGCAGTCTTTCAGTTCAGAAAAATGTTGTCAAATACATTTACTAAAAATCCATTGATGTGATAAACACATATCTTACTACATTATTTTCCAAACCATAGCAGAAAATATATATTTTATTTATTTATAGAACAATGCTGTTTAAATTCTGCTGTGTACTGTGCCAGTGGCTGGGAATGAAATATTGATTACAACAAGTTACCTGCACTCGGTTTTCTTACATTCTTGTTGAGGCCACAGACTAGAAATAGGTAAACAAATAAAAAAAAGAACATGGGGGCCGGCACCGTGCCTCATTTGGTTAATCTTCCACCTGCAGTGCTGGCATCCCATATGGGTGCCTGTTCTAGTCCTGGTTGATCCTCTTCCAGTCCAGCTCTCTGCTGTGGCCCAGGAAAGCAGTGGAGGATGGCCCAAGTGCTTGGGCCCCTGTACCTGGCTCCTGGCTTTGGATTGGCGCAGCGCTGGCCAGGAGCCTCATCTGGGCCTGCCATGTGGGTAACAGTGATGCAAGGACTTGAACCATCTTCTGCTGATTTCCCATGCACAACAGCAGGGAGCTGCATCAGAAGTGGAGCTGCTGGGACACAAACCAGGGCCCATGTGGGATGTTGGAGTCCCGGGTGGCAGCTTAACCTGCCACAGAACAACATCAGCCCTGAGACCATTGTTAACAAAGCTTCAAACATGCAAATCACTGTCTTGTTTATGGATGTGCACATATCTAAATAAAACAATCATGTGTACATGGGAATAAGAGAAGCTAACCCAGGAAAGCATTCATCTTTGGAGAGCAGCCATTTGGGGAGTGAACCAATGGAAGGAAGACCTTTTTCTGTGTCTCTCTCACTTATTGTCTATAACTCTACCTGTCAAATAAGAAGAAAAAAGAACATTCCAGGCTGTGATATACTATGAAGGAGATAAAAAGATCATCAGATGAGAAGTAATTGGAGAAGGAAATTTCAGGGAAAGTGGCTAAGGAAGACTTTTCTGTAGACAGAACATGTGAATTGCAACCTGGAGACCAAGAAAGCAGGTTCAGTTCTACAATTACTCTCTGCGGTAGAGTACCACTTGCCACGTGTGGCCATTGAGCACTTGAATGTAGCTTGTTCAAATAGAATTAATTTAAGGCTAAAATATACATTCACTTCCAAAGTAATATGAAAACACATCAAACATCTTGTGAAGAACGGCATTAAAAGATAAGTTTATGGGGGGGCACATTGTGGTACAGTGGGTTAAGCCAGGCTGTGACACTGGAATCCCATATCAGAGTGGCAGTTCGAGTCCTGATTGTTTTGCTTCTGATCCAGCTTCCTGCTAATGTGCCTGGGAAAGCAGTGGAAGATGGTCCAAGTCCTTGGGCCCCTGCTACCGATATGGGAGATCTAGATGGCTTCTGCTTGGCCCAGCTCAGCCATTGCAGCCATCTGGGGAGTGAACCAGCAGATGGAATGTCTCTATCTGTTCCTCTTTCCCTCTCTCTTTCCCTCTCTCTGTAACTCTGCTTTTCAAATGAATAGATAATAAATAAATCATTTTTTAAAAGCTAAGTTTAGGGAGCAGGTATTTAGCCTACACTTAAGAGGCCCCTGTCTAATATTGGCGTGCCTACATCCTATTCCTGGCTCAGGCTACTGATTCCAGTTTCCTACTACTGTAGACCATGGGAGGCAGCAGTGATGGCCCAAGTAATTGAGTTCCTGATACTCACGTGGGAGACCTGGCTCCTCTCTTTGACCTGGCCTAGCCCTGCCTATTTTGGACATCTGGGACGTGAACTGGCATTCAAATGCGAGTGTTTCCACTCTCACTCTTTGTCTCCACTATCCATTGAATATTAAAAAAAATAAAAAAGATAACTGTGTTTGGTGCAAATTGAACAGCATGCATCGTGTTTTCATAATATGTTTTCCACAAACATGTTTCTATTTCTTAGTTCTGTTCTTGGTAGCTTCGGTCTATTTGCTGTTATTAACATGTGTTTTTCATCTGTTTTTCCTCTTCCTGAAGGTGATTGCAACTGAATTTTTGTGGTAGATGTCTCTCCAGGGATCTAAGTCTGAAATAGGTACTGACTGAAATGTATGTAGTAGGTCTCCTCTGAGGAGCTCAGTCCTCATGTGTACTGACTGAGATGTCCAAATATAAAAATTCAGCGTGTGATCAAACTTAACAGAGCTCAGAATTCAGGGGTAATGGCTGGTAGAGAAAGCACAGAACACTGACACATTGCTTAGAGGAGCTACATCATTAGTCATGTTCCCTTAGAAATGAGCACAAAACAGGTAAAGGAAGACTGAGTTCGGGGGGTGGGCAGAGCTAGCAACCCAAGGTCATGGCAGCAAAGGGCAGGATTTCTGTGGGGAGCTACAGCAGATCACGGAGATCTAGTGCCACCCTCTCCGTAGTGCAGGAGGTTCTGTCGTGCTGTAAAAGTCGCCCCTGTTTGCATGTTGAGACAGAGTTTTATTCTACACATTGTTTTGGTACTGGTGGTAATGTTCCTGGCTTCGGCGTGCCTCTTTTTGATATGTCTGTCAGGGTGCTGGCAAGTTCACCCACTTTTAATAACATTAAATTAATTCACTGCAGAGAGCAAGCAGAATTTGTGTGTGTGTGTGTGTGCGCGCGCGCGCGCATGCAGTGTTATTCTCATTTTTCATCGTGGCTTGTGTCATAGGAGAGAGATTGACTGCTAAGCAGATGCGTGTTAGATGTAGCAGGTGCAAGGTTAAATATTAGCCTGTGAGCCTTTGAGGACCCCCAGATGTGATGTTTGTTATGCAACCTGTACTAACAGTTTCGTGAAGAGAACTCTTCCCCTACTGGTGTGAGAGTTGAGTCATATCCTGTGAATCTGAAGCAAGGGTATTTAAACATCACGGGTTCTCTTCCTTTCATTCTAACTCGCTGCAGTTCAGAGCAGCAAGTGCTCTGTGCAGGAGGCTGTTGCTCTGGCTTGGAGGTGAGCAGCTTCTCTTGCTGGTGTTCAGTGAAGGCAGCCAAGTCTGGAGATGCAGTTCTCTCCCTGGAGTGAAAGATGTTTGGTTCATTTCTAACCAACTATGCTAGATAGCTGTAAGCTGAAAAGTGCCTGCAATTTGCCACTTATTTGTCAGAAGGTAAGTACCATATTTTTGGTTTACTCATTGGACTGTGAAGCCTTAAATGATTGTAGCAGTTTTAGTCTGTCATTGTGCCACAGAAAATGTCTTCTCACAAGGGACTGGAGATGGCATTTGAGAATCTAATGCAAGTACTTTTGAAGTTACAGGACAATCCATTTGTGAGATACTCACTTTAAAGATCATATTCCTTTTAGAATAGGTGTTCATGAAATATATAGTGCCTGAGGAAGGGAAACATTGTAGAAGCTTTAGACTGGTTTAGTTTTAGATTATTTTTAAAAGAGTTAAATACTACCAGGGTCTTAATTCTTCTTTTTGCTACTCTGTGATCTCGGTAAAAGGTGAAATATACATAATATTTTTATGATTGTGCTTGAAGGTTGTCCTGAATAATTCTAGATCAGTGATTATATTTCTCCATCGAAATGAAAGGTGGTCTTCGTAGAAAGTTTACAGTGGAGAAGTAGTGGAAGTCTTTTGTCTTTTAGTAGTTGCCTTTCCGTTTAAGTGAAAGGCTACCGGATTTATAAACTCCTGCCTGATGTGTTTGTTTTGAAATGCGTATGAGTTTGTTTTTCACAGCCTACCTGCTCAGCTGCTGTTGGAGACATTCATTTATAAATTGCGTGAATAGGAATAAATCGGGTGGCAGAGAGTGAAAGAGAGGTTTATTTCTCAAATTCTTTAAAGCCCACGATTGACCTTTGTCTGGCAGGACTCTCAAGTACCTGCTAAAAAATCTGTCCTGACCCAGTAAGAGAAGGACCTCATCAAACAAGGATTTCGGAGTAGATCTTCTATTTCTCAAATGAATTCAAAGGGAATAAGTGAGAGTGACAGGCTGAATGGGAGAGCCTGCTACTGTCACTCACACCTGGTGGTTGCTGCTTGCCTTGCGTGTGTCTGACGCTTGGGATTCCTGGTCAAGCCAGAACCAGAGACGCTGGAGATGGACAGCTAACGTCTTTGTCTCCTTCTGTCTTTTTCCATGACTGTATCTACCGCCTCACCTTGGCTTATAAGCAAAACCTGAAAAACCTACAAAAATAAGTATTTTGTGACTTATCTATCAGTAATGCAGGAAACACTGCTATTCATTTTGGTCAGAGTTGATTTGGTATAGCTTATTTCAATCTAATTGAAATGTGAATTTGGGGGAAAAAATTCTTTAGGCTTGCTGCCAGAAGGTTGGAATGAAAGATGGGTGTATTGTCTCGGCTTTTTATTGATGAAAGAAGTCAAATTGAATCAGAGTTGAAGGTGGTGTGCAGTGTCATATATCAGAGACACTCATATTTAAGGCCTTTGAATTCCTTTGGGGTAGAAAGGGCTGATTTGATCTTGAGATCAGTGAATCTGTAAGATATTAATGAATTAGGTTTTTTAAATATGTCTAATAACAATTAGTATTGTGCATGCTTTGTCTCTTCCTAGTTGGTTTCTGTTACGCTTAGGAGTTGTTTCATTTCTGTTCAGTATTATACTCACTACAAAACTGAAAGTTTCTAACACAGACATGGAAATCACTTTTCATTAGATAGATATTCAATCATGAGTGTTTTTTCCAAAGTCAGAAGGTTAATGAGCTGGTGGAAGGAAAGTAGGTTTCCTCTTCTTCGGCGAGGAAATTAAAATGATTTCAACTTGCAAACTTGTCTGAAGGTGGTACTGCAGATTAGAAGAGGGAGTCTGAAAAAATGACTTAGCACTATTAGAGCCCTTGGGACCTTGAAGAGTGAAAATGCACATATCCCAAAAGATTATGATAAGAGATGAGATCAGTAGGACATCCAGCGCTAGATTATGTGTCACACTGTCCTTTCTTCCCTGGGCAGGAGAGAGCTGTTCTGGTTAGGCAGGTATCCTGCTTGAGGGTTTTTCCTTATGCTGTATTTCAGTTATTAAATTCTGATACAAAGAATAGAAGAGAATCCACCTACATGAAGACAGTGCATGAATTATTGTACTTGCGTTGTTTCGGTCTTTATTATGGATTCTATTGACCGTGCATGCGTACTGTTGGTGGGAATGTCAAGTCAGGATGAGAAAGTGTCACCAATCAGGTTTTATACCTTGCCGTGTTTCAAATGTGGGCTTTATCTGTGACATTGTACAAACACCTGGGGATATCGTCCGATTTGGTTATTGGGGATCTTGTTTCTCCTCTGGCCTCTCTGTTGCTCTCTCCTTCTGTCATTTTCCTGGGTCTTTGCACTTCCAGAAGGGGCGTGGGTCCTGGGCAGGTGGCACTGGGAAGGAGGACAGAGTAGAGGAGTGAGCCAGCTTGGGCAGTTTGTCCATTTCTCCCTCTCTCAGTGGTTTTATGAGGCAAGGTGTTAGAAAGAGGCTCACTTTGATGGCTGACCTGATCTTTTAGACAACTTGTAGATTTCAGTTAGCAAGAATTCCTTGACTTGTAGGATAAGCAACAACAGAATTAATTGGGACCGATTTTTCAGACCTTAGTTAACTGACAGGATTGTTGCAAAAATGAAACAAAATCACATCTCTTGCTGTGAGGCATTGACTGTAAAGTGCTAGACATACTTGTTTTGTATCTTCCTAAAGTCAAGGATATGAGAGACATCAGAAATACTGTATACATCAGGAATGTCTGTATATTTCTTTGTAGGAGCATGGTCTCATTTTTCTTCTCTCTCTGAACTCTTCTTATTCGTTCTGAATTTATATACAAATGTTTTGTAAAGATAAATTCTGAACATAAAGCCCCAAATTGTACCTAAGCCCCAGTGCTCTTTGAAATTTCAATTGTTTATGGTTTGAAGAAACACAATCTGACTCAGATGTTTACTGAGTGACCACTACATGCTCTCCATGAGCTAAAATCAGCCTGTGATGTCTCTGTTGGGTGCTGCATAATCAGAAATACGTGGCATGACATTTTTCTTTTTTTCTGAGATGTTTCTCTTGTAAGTAAGGCCCTGAGGCGATTGTGAAGACGAACCAGAGCAGAGGAAGAAATTGTGCAGGGAGTGCTCATCCTGATTCCCGAAAACTAACTCTTCCTAGAGGGTGCTTTAGTTGCTATTGTCTTGAGTGAATCCTGCTGGTACCCAAAGCGGTCATCTGGTCATCTCGTTGGGGAAAATGAGGACTAGCGATTGCCCCCAGCTAACTCCTAAAATGAGTTCTGAAGAGCAAATGACGCAATTGATGTGAGGATGCTTTGTAAGCTCCCGAGAACCCTCACGTGATTACCACATAGTAAGATGTGCACAACTCTGTGTTTATTTAGATGCTGTCTCAAGCCATTTCCCAAAGAAGGGTTAGGAAAGGTACCTCATTTCACTCAGCAGGTGTGTGAGTAAATGATCCAGACCTGGGTCTTTTTGCTGAGTCAGCTAGAAATTGATCCGAAGACTAGTTGTTTCTCTAGTGTGCTTACCATCTAGATGTTTCTTTCGGTAATAATTAATATTTTCTAAATGTGGATGAACATCCTTCTAGGAAGTTCTATACCTTAGGAAATGTTCTGCAGGGCCTCCTCTGCAGGCTCTGTGCTCCAAAGCCTTCTCTGTTTGGGCTCATTTGGTAGAGCATGGTTGTGTGGAATGATTACCAAAATTTAACATCTGACTTTTGCAATGTCTTAGTGACTGCTCCAGTTGCCGAGCTCCAAGTCCTTGCTCTGGGGAACTGAGCCAGAAAGTAAACATGCTTAATGGATTGGGGTGGATTTTATAGCTCTGAAAGTTGTAGGTGCTGTGGCAGATTGCTTTATTACATTTATTGAGAGTGGTTGGCAGAAAGACATTCTCCAAAAGCTTGTAGAAAGATATTAGGAAAATTTGAACAACTAGTGAACTTCCAACTGCTCTGTTAGAATGGATCTGGCTCTTTTATACTACAGAATTATATAATGAGGATAATGAAAAGGGGGAGGGGGGGGTGTTCACAATTATAGAAATGAATATGTCCTACCATACCAATGAACCCAGTAGATTTAAAGTGAAAATTATACTTGAAAACCTCTTCCCACTAACATTAGAAGACAGACTAATTAAAAGTTCCCTTGTATTGGTGGTATTAATAAAGGTTACTCCTTAGTCATAAGAATTCAAAACATGATCACTCTTTCTTTTAATAAAACATACTGCTCATAATGCTCATAATGAAAAAGTGTGTGCTGTATGCATATCCTGTTCTTCAACTTAGGGCTTCAAGAGATAAATGGAATTTATCATTATTCTATCTTATGATAAATCCTAGTCATGCTTTATAATACAATTCCTACTTAATTAAATGTCAAGAACTATATGAATGTGCTATACTACCCCCAAGGAGATAGGGGAAAACAGGTGGAATAAACAGGTATGGATATTAAAAAACATTCTGCTAATTACAAATGAGAGGGAATAGGATGTGGCCTACTGGACAGAGCTCTGGACTGTAGGAGTACCGTGGAGGAATTCCTACTTCTGTGCCATGCTGTGCTGGATATAACAGTGCAGCCCTTGCCTTCTTTCGAGTTCATTTTACTATCTCAAAACTTGCTGCAGCACTTGCATAGAGCAGTGTGTGTGTCCGTAGGTGTGGGGTAAGTGTGGAGCGGTGACCCTGCAGAGATCAGCACGGGTGAAGAAGCGCTGTGGGCTCCATGGAAGAGCCCATGAGCTGTGTCATTGTTCCGAGGTTTATAATGAGTAAGTCCTTGAGATAAGTCCAAGGAAGAAAGCTTTGGAAATGATCTGTTAGGTTTTAATTACATCTTAATTTAGGAGAAATACTCCAATTAGTCACTTGGTCTCCCTTTGCTTGAGTCATTTCACCAGTGGGATGGGATTAGTAATATCTCTTCATGGCAATTTACAGCAAACCCAGATATAAAGAATCAAGTTCCAAATCCCTCACTGTGTTTCTGAGATGAACATCGTAATCATGTCTAGTATGTGACTCAGGCTGTATAATGACTTTTTGTGAACTGTCCGTTTCTTTTCATCAATATTATGAGAACTGAGCTCTATTACTATTGA